AGGCGGAGTGTGTTTTCTTACAGGCTAGGATCCACGTATTCAGACAAACTTGAACCTCATAGTCCCAGCATCGGCTTTTCTGGCTGTTCTTGATTAATAGCCTTCGTCGACATCTATTGATCACCCCAGTCGAGCATTATCAAAAGGTATTGCGCCCGCGCAGAAAAATGAGCGACAGAACAGACACATGACCCCGACATCCACAATTCCCACCACGAGCCACACACAATCTTCTATTTTTAGATTTTCGGCAACAAGCTCCGAGTAGCTTGCTACGTAGTTGGTATTCTCAGTTTCTAACGCATGCCTGCCCGTCGCTCTAGCTCTTCTTCCCAATGCTCCGAAAAATCCACAACCTTTCATGCAATCTGGCCTGATCACAACACGTGTTCCGCGACCGAATTGCGAAGCTGATGGCTACTCGTCGAGATAGACAGACATAAGCACGCGATCTCTCCCGCAGATCAATCCAATAACGACGGACATAGAAACGGACGCCCGAATGGGAACGGATAACGCCGACAAACCACGCGACACCCAAATCAGCAGGGACCTCCTCAGTCCCAAGGGACATTTCGCAAAAGGAGCAAGGGAGGCATTTAACGACAGAGGATGTCCTGGAGTGTTATTTGCACAATTGTTACCCAGATCTAGAACATCTTCATCTTTGTTTGAAGCGATTAACAACGGATCTTGCACTTTGGTTACTGGTGGTCATTTGTTGAAGATCACGGACTGGATAGGTTATTTGTACAGCCCAGTAAGGGGTTCGAGCGGTTCGCTAGATTCTCTAGCGTCGTGCAGGTCGTAAACGGCGACAGGATCGCCTTGCGGGCAGGGGTTCCGGCAGCGGACATGTCGGGTGATAGGTGCAGACAACATTGGGCACCCGAACGTGAAAAGGCAAGCACACTAGACACAGAGAAAGCAGACTGGCAAAAACGCTTCTCACGCCGCGAAGGTGAGCAGTATTGAAACTGAGGTTGTGGAAATCGATTACCGCAAACGATTTTGCTACAAGTGACTTCCTCAATTTGTTGTGATTCAATTGGTTTCCTATCTCAATTCGTTTCTGTACCCATTTGCGTGGTAAAAACGGCGAACAGGCAACCATCGAAATAAAAAATAAAGTGGACGAAGGAAACGTGCACCCTCAGAGTTGCCTATCACAAGCGTCGTCCATCCCACAACCGCTTAAGCCTGGCTACAAGAATCTCAATGCCGGTGGTTTCGAAAAAAAATTGAAAAAATGCAAATAAAACCGTAGTTACAGCCAACTAGGCTGATGCTGATCGCGAGCGACGAGTCGGTCGCGAGTCAGTCGTTGACGTAGGAGGTTGCTTGGTAGGCGGTTGCTTGGTAGGCGGTTGATTGGTAGGAGGTTGCTTGGTGGGAGGTTGCTTGGTAGGGGGTTGCTTGGTGGGAGGTTGTTCGGTCGGAGGTTGGTCGCTCTTGGTGATCATAAGTTTCGTTGCGCACGCTTCGTCGTCGCAAAGGTTCTCTTTACTGATGAAAGTGAAAACATAGGGACACTTCATCCGTATCATCTAGGGGCTGAAGACCACATATTGGGAATCTCGAACCTCTTCTCTGTATCATGGGGTCGACTTTGCGGATCATCGTGTCATTGGTTGCAGTCACGTCGCAATTAAAGCCATTCTTGCACGTAACGCCGAAGGGATGGTACCAGAAAGTATGACCAGAACCGACATCGTCATCAATGACAATGTGTTGAGTACCCTGAACAGCAACATTCATATCAACAATCGTATAAGAAATGCCTTTCTTTCTCTTGAAGCCCAAAATTTCCGCACGCCCAGTCAACATGACTGCCTTCAGATCGGCATTCGATGGCATTGCTGCTGTAATTTCGCAAGGATCGAAAATCTCGCACAGTGTTTTTGGCTTCATTCCAACTTGAATTTCCCTCGTAATGGTTGTTGTATTTTTTTTAGCGGTGATTGCGAGAGACACTTTTAAACTCTTCTCCTCCCCACACGCTTCAATGGAATCCTCTGCAAAACCGACGCAAACTTGCACAGGATAAATTGATTCGTGGAATCGAGTTTGTAAATATGTTGCATCGACTTCGACCGTATGTTTTTTGCACTCTTCATTGGAAAGCCACGTATCTGGTGATTTTACCCTATAGTGAAGCCCCTCCAACCCCTCACTCCAATGACGAAGAGTGGAAATAAAATGGCAACGAATCTCATACTTTAATAAAATAAACTGATTGGAAGATCTTCGTTATCGTGCATACCTGAGATCTTAAGAGAATGAATGTGTCTTTGTGTTCAGTTGATTCCCAGTACTCAAGAATCTCTCAGTTTTCCTCTCTTCTTCCTTGTTTCATTCGTTGTTACAGATTCGGCTCACGATTCTTTCAGGCTGATAGCAACAGAAGGTCTCCCAACAGAACTTTCAATCACCCTAGCTGTTATTACAGCGATCACCGGTTGCCTTGTTGTCGTGCTGCTTAGGACTGTTTACGCCCGAACGTGACTGGTGGGTTTGGGGGTCCCTTTCGTTCTGGAGGTGACTGGGACATAACGCAAAAGTCCAAAGTGTGGTACGGAAGAGTTGGCGGTAGCGGGAGTGACGAAAGGTTCAAAGACTCGGAGCATCATTCTGTAAGTTCGTATTTTCAGCCAAAAACAGCATCAATACTGAAGAACGAATGAATGAGAGCTCGCAGCCAATTCAAGAATGGCTGTGGAGTCCTTCCAATTGTCTAACTTCCCAGGATGTGGAGAGTGTCATGGGGCGTGTCCTGAGGGTCCTTATCGATGAGTGTCTATGCCATGACTCCGGTCCTGAGAACTTGGTTGCCGCTTATTGCTAGCAGCTCGATGTACCACAATGCTTCCCCTATTACAAGACTGAACCAAAAGGTGTTGCGCCCGCATAGACGACGCAAAGGAAAAGTGGGGGACTGAGCGTGCGGACATCCATTGTTGTTCACTTCGATCTTTAGAACGAATCAAACAGAAAAACGGCCAACTGCTAGTTCGTGTCCTTGTAAAACGGGACAGGGTCTTCGGGATTTAAGACAAGCTACCTTTTGCTGAGTGGTGTGACTGTCAACTTTGACAGCATGATGAAAACGTTGCCTCCTCTCCTCTTGTGTTCTTCATGTGTCTCGATGCGGAATTCCTCCCCCCTTTTCAGTTTCGGTCTCTCTGCCAACAAAACGTACGTTTAGCAAAATGTCTCCATCTCAATTGTTCCATTTTTTTATCAGTTTTCTTACGGAATCCAGCATGAGAGCATCCTCATTTTACGTCAACTCCATCTCCGCAAGACGCTTTTCCCCTATTTTTGAGGGCATTTTTCAATGTATCGCGATGGATTGCATTCATTTCGTTCTTATTTTTTGCTGTTCGTTCTGCGTTCATTTTTGTTCCTATTTTTATTAACTCCATCCTGCAGACCGGATCTTCAACTCTTTTGATGAAAACGTGCAGGTTTACTCCACGAAAGCAGCCGAATACATCACCACTATTACAGGCGGAGATATACCAAGCTCTCCCACACTGCTGAACGAACCAAACTCCTCTGCTTGGTGATGGTTGGTGCATTTTCGATCATTTGTATTTTCTATTACATCCTGCCATTTATTTTGACCTGCAAGCGCACCAACTCACCACTAAGCGGTCTGTTTCCAGGGCAAAATAAGTCAACTGCGAGCATCCATTGAGTTCTGTATTTGAGACCATCATCATATTATGAGTGGAGGAAACTTATTCAATAGTGGAGTCATAAAAGAAGTTCAATCAAGATTACAAGCATACCTTGATTCACCCGAAAAGCGCTGGTCTACATTGGATTGATACAAAAAAGAACAAGATACCGGATTGGCGCGAAGTGATCCACGCAAGGCGAACAGAGGAAGGGTTTAAAGAAACAACAAAACTCATGGTCCTTCATTGCTGGACACTGTGCACCCCACAGCTCGGCTCCCAACTTGAAACAAAAACCATCGTCACGACTACAGAACTCTCTCACCTGTCCCGGTGACTCTGCCAAATATCGAGGGCACCGCCTCTGCACGTCGGACTTTGGTGCGGCAATCATTACATGACATTGATAAATGGGAGAACACGTCCAAGCAAGCGTTTTAAGATCTCGTTGCAACGTTGACCAGAAACTGAGAAAACTGACGGGAGCTACCTGTGGTATTGTACCGTCTGTTTCAATGGTGTGCTTCCTACTGAATGATTTGTCAGATAAGTGGCTTGTGGCAGGTGCCCTTTAAACAAAAATTCCCCAACAAAAGTAGACAATATGCCACACGCCCAACAAAAAAATACACGACTTCAAACACGATAAGAGAAACGGTATCAAGAGCCTTGCACGGCACTCGACACTTTCTGGGCATGGGGAAGCCGTCAGCAACTGCCGACATCTCACCACTGAAGCCAACATTTGATCCCCGAGACGACACCGGATGTTAAGCTGTTTACGTCTGCAGGTTGGACAAACGGCGGCTCTTACACGACACTCATAACATAAAGCGTGACCTCCTGGACATTGATAAATGGGAGGAATCAACGCGTTCGGGCAAACGGAACATCTTAACAGGTTCTTCACATCAAGACTCGCAAGCTGAAAACTGAAACACTTCGAGAAAAGCATAAAAAATGTCTAAATACCCGTAAATCATCCATTCTATGCTCTCAGTTCTGTCTACGAATTCAATTCGAAGGTTTGTTGGAAGTGGCGAATACCGAGTGCTCTGTTTTTGAGCCACACTGTTCTGTATATGTGGACTGTACACCACACATAATCCGCTAAATCCCTCCGAAGTACGATGATGAGAAGCGCCTCCACGCTTGATGCCTTCAATAATGAACGAATCTTTTTCTGGTTACAAGCGCAAACGCTGACACTTGAAATCATAGATCTGATTGGAAGGTACAAGCTTGCATATGCGTGACACTAGGGTCGCCAATGCAGAACGCACGGTGTAATATCAGCTATGTACGAAAGTCTGAGCCTCAGTGTTGGTTAGAGCCCACACATCCCACATCCCGCACATCCCACATCCCGCACATCCCACATCCCGCACATCCCACATCCCGCACATCCCACATCCCGCACATCCCACATCCCGCACATCCCACATCCCGCACATCCCACATCCCGCACATCCCACATCCCGCACATCCCACATCCCGCACATCCCACATCCCACATCCCGCACATCCCACATCCCGCACATCCCCCACATCCCACATCCCGCACATCCCGCACATCCCACATCCCGCACATCCCGCACATCCCACATCCCGCACATCCCACATCCCGCACATCCCACATCCCGCACATCCCACATCCCGCACATCCCACATCCCGCACATCCCACATCCCGCACATCCCACATCCCGCACATCCCACATCCCGCACATCCCACATCCCACATCCCGCACATCCCACATCCCGCACATCCCCCACATCCCACATCCCGCACATCCCGCACATCCCACATCCCGCACATCCCGCACATCCCACATCCCGCACATCCCGCACATCCCACATCCCGCACATCCCGCACATCCCACATCCCGCACATCCCACATCCCGCACATCCCACATCCCGCACATCCCACATCCCGCACATCCCGCACATCCCACATCCCGCACATCCCACATCCCGCACATCCCACATCCCGCACATCCCACACATCCCACATCCCGCACATCCCACATCCCGCACATCCCACACATCCCACATCCCGCACATCCCACATCCCGCACATCACACAGCGAATCACAGCATTCTCATTCTGACTCGATACTCCATCCAGCACATCAAACTTCACAACCTCAATGCAAAACTTCATGAGCACAATATTTCGAAGAACGGGAAACATTTTTCACGGCACCGTCACAAATATTTATCAAGAATAGCTATGCGTACCTTCACTCGTTTTACTGACACTGTCGGTTGTCCCGCTTTGAGTTGCAACAAATAAACTCATAAAAGCACGCTCAGGTGGTCTTTGCGTTTGTATTTGGACGAACAAATCCATCGATTGTATGAATCAGATCCCACTACTAAAATAGACAACACCACAGGTACTGTAGTTTGACTGTGTTTCGCTGATTTTGGGCAGCCGTGAGGTCACCCCTACTCCCCTTCCTCCTAGCCAGCCTCAACAATGGCGGCTTCTTGTTGGCTTCACCCAAACGACGAATGTCACTTCGATTTCCTCTGTCAGGATTCCACCAGTCCAAAGCCAGCCCACCCACATCCAAACATCTGTTACAAGACGCACAAGCGAGCGAATAAGGTACCTTGAAGATTTTCTGGTGGCCAGAATGGTCTCAAGGACAACAAATGGTGAAGCAAACATGCGTGCAAATTAGACTCCACATATAAAACACTTGGAGCATCTAATTACTTCTTGTATTGATTTTTGAACAGACCTCCATGTGAGGAAAGTGTTGTCCTGTTATTGTCCTCTTTACTCTGTTTTTCGGCACCCCATGAGCAGCAAAGAAAACACAGAAATGGATAGTTCTCCAGGGCATTGTGTAAAATCCGCCGACCACCATCAACTCGCAGCATCTGTATCGATGGACACACCAACAACGCCACAGGTGAGTGAGCATTGCGTTACCCTTCAACTGTTATTCTGATTGTTAGTTCCCAGTGATCGGCATGAAGGAGACCATGGAGCTCTTAGAATGTCCGGTTTGTATGGACGCATTAATTCCTCCCATTTATCAATGTCGAGAGGGACACGCTTTATGTAATGATTGCCGCACCAAAGTAAAAGTTTGTCCGACGTGCCGAAGCGGTGCCCTCGATATTCGGTGTCGCGTACTGGATCGCTTAGCAGACTCAGTTGGAGAGGTAATCATCCTTGGTTGTCAGTGCTCTCGATGGTGGTTGTTGTTTCCAGGTGGCTTGTCGGTATCAATCGATGGGTTGCACCGAGAGAGTGAAGTATCGAACAAAGAAGGATCATGAGGCTCGGTGTTCCTTCAAATCGTTTCTCTGCTTGCATTACGATTGCGTATGTTGATCCAATTCAATAATACACCTGCCCTTGCATTCATACTCATGTACTGGTTCCTTTCAGGGCTGCGGCTTCGAGGCTTCAGTGGGAGATTTAGTGAGCCATTTAGTGACGCAGCACGGGTAATCCTCATGAGGTTTGAAGGCTCTTCCAACTTTTTCTTGTTTGTATTTTAGCTATGAGCTGTTTGAAACAAACAAGATCCAATTTATTTGCAATCGCAGCACTCTACGGCCCTCAGATTCGATAGCGTCAGACGATCATACGGTGTGGCAGCGACACATGTAAGAGGCAGCTCTAAATCTTGAGCATCTCGCTGTTTCCATCTCAGATATTCCTGCTTTGGAAAACATTTCGTGCTTCGGGTTCATCGGCGGGTGGATGGGGATCCATCGGTTTACATCAGTGTTGTCGTTCTTCACTCAAAACATCATTCTAATCGCTACAACGTACAAATAGAAGGGAATCATAGAAAATACACATTTGAAGGTAGAGGGCTGATAACGGCCAGTCGTCACACCATCGTTTCAGGTCCCGTATGGTCGATACGAAAAGGATTTAGAGAGGTAGAAAGAGTGCGAGATTGCATGATAATACCAGAAAACATCGCTCTCTTTTTGAGTGGAGGAAAAGGATCAGAGAATGATTTGGGACTGATCAATCTTCCTGTGACGGGGAGAAATTTTTCCTTAACGAAGTTTGTTATCGTTGGATTTTTGTTGTGGATGCGTTCCATGGTTGGCTCACCAATTTCTGGTTAGAACACTTCGGAGTTCCTGCTCCTCGTAGCATGTACGTTGATTAAGCAGCCATGTCGTCACGATTCGTGATCAACACCCCACAAATCGCGGAATGAGAGCCGTCTCTCTCCCCTAGCGCCTAGTCAAAGATCCACACAACATAGCGCAAGATACTTCTTGACAAACAAGGTCTTCAGGCACTTCTGAACAGTGGGTTTGTTCAACGGTCGGTTCAAACACACGAAAGTGCTGGTTCTCCTGGAGATCTTGACTCAAATTCATGCAAGAGGAACACACCCCAGACCATGGGAAATTCGACAAAGGTGGGCTTCACTGCTTCTGCCTTTAACCCCCACAAATAGAAAAGACTTAGAAGCACATAGTGGATCAAATCGTAAGTCCTTGAAGTCTACGGACTCATCTTGTCCTGTTTTCTGCAGCCGCATCGGTTCAACTTCCGTCCAATTCATGTGGCTCATCTACGAAACCCAGCCGAAGGAGGCCAGGCTCTCCATTGTCAGATGGTTCCGGGCCATCTCGTCGTCCTCGTTGGGATCGACGACCATCTGATAGTACAACTAGAACAACTATTCCAGCTCGTAGTCCATCAATTGAATTGCGTCGTTCACACTCACCAATTGACTTGTGTCGTTCACCTTCACCAATTGACTTGTGCCGTTCGCCTTCACCAATTGACTTGTGTCGCTCACCTTCACCAATTGACTTGTGCCGTTCGCCTTCACCAATTGACTTGTGTCGCTCACCTTCACCAATTGACTTGTGCCGTTCGCCTTCACCAATTCCGTTGCGTCGTTCATCTTCACCAATTGATTTAGGTCGCTCGTGTGAGAGTTTAATGCAGGATATTGAAGGAATTGAATCTGAGGGCTTGCGTGACTTGATTTCTAGGTAGCCTTTCACGAGTCTATCGAGTCATAAATATCGAATAGATTTTCCAGCATTTCACACTTTCGCTATTTTTTCAGTGTTGATTGCTTTTTCTGGTTCTCTGTTCTAGTCTTGTTTGCTCGAGTCGATTACTCATGATTCATTCAATTCTTCTTCATCTTTTCTTTATCAAAACTGTCAAAGCATTCAAGACAGAAGTTACACGTCAATTTTGTTACTGGGTTCGCTGGGCGGAGTCTGGGGAACGACAAACACCTCGGACAAACGCGACGTCATCTGGAGCAGGGGCGGACCGACGCGTCGCCTGGCCCAATGCGCTATGCTCGCCAGTGTCCACACTGACGGAGCGGTTGAGATAATCGTGTCCTATCAGCATTGAGTCACAGATGCAGCGATCGACAAGTCCTCACCTCATATCCAAAGGCGAATCCCCTATAAACATCCCCCGAAACAGGTTCAGCGGGCAATACCGGCGGTGACTCAAGTTCCGGGAGAGAAACGGTTTCAACGATTTCAGACATATTTTCGTTTTCTTCGACTGGACGCCGCTGTGGAACGAAGACAACAAGCTCACCTCTTCCCCGAGCTCTTCGCCCAATGACAACATCAAAGACTCCTCGAAGCATCCGCTCTTTGATAATGGTTACTTCAAAAGGTTCAAAAATGACCTAAAAAGAAGTGGAGTATAGATTGCTTCTTCCACCGCATTACCTTGAAAGCACGTGCAGAGAAAACTGGAATGATACAAATAAAAATTGAAAGCAGCACACCGAAGTAATACGCAGGACATTTGTGTAGGATGCTAAAAGTCCCTCGAAGTGGAGCCAAACCCTTGGTGGCGTTCATTATAAGCCATTCCCAGGCTGTAGCCCCCCAGAGAGCCATAAATATGCCGAAAATTGCAAACATGAGAAGCGCTTGAAAGAGGAATAATGAATTGACAGCCATCAATAGAATGAGATTACAGATCTGGTCACAGGAGAAAAGTGGAGAACGTGATCCTCATTTGAATGGCAACTTACAACGATGCATTGGATTAGAACCACCATCCCAACCGAAGAGAGGTCGAATCCTGTCTTTCCGGCGTCAGTCGGAAATTGAGGCTCTTGAAGACGACGCAGTTCAGGAGAAAAAAGGTCTGACTCGTGGAAATTGGAGCTGTTTAATTGATGCATGGCGCCCGAAAAGGATATTTCTTCATTTGCAGTTTGAACAGATAAAAGCCGTCGCAGAGCTTCAAGGTCGCGTGAAGGGAGGAAAACAGCAGAGTCGACAGACATCGCATTCTTAAGGATTTCAATTGGTAACACGGTGATAATCGTCGCGACGAAAATCCCGTAGAGGAACCAGATAACGAGCAGACGTGTTCCAAAGCTGGATGTTCCAACTGATGGAAAAACTCAGAAGAAGATTCAAAGACCGTCGACATCTTACGTGGAACTGTTCGCAATTGAAACGCACGACTGATCTTGGAAAGCCGTTTTGTCACATGATTGATCAATTGCTTAGCCCTTTGGGATGGACAAGAACACTGGGGGGCGTTCCCTCGTCGAAGGCAATTAGCTGCTCCAGTGATGCAACTCCGAGTGAATTCACGAATGTTTCGGATTAACGTTGATAAATACGTTGAAGTTGCAATGGGCCAAAATACGGGAGCGAAGCATCGGTACGTAATAGGCGACCCTGACCCAGCAAAAGCGTTAAGAGGGAAGAGGTTTGGAGTCCCTCACGATGCAGAATATAATGGGGGAGTTCTCGATCGAAAATGGCGTAGAGAATAGCAGCAGGCGCGATGAAAACCGTCCCATATAACGATTTCAGCCAAAAATTATAAATATCTTGACCGCTGAACCCCTAGAGAGAAAAAATGATGATCTGAAAAGCAAGGAAGCACTCACGCAATAAAATTGGAAAATAAAAGAAGCCGTGGAAAAAGCAATATTCTTGAAAATTCCGTAATAGACCATAAAAGAATTTCTTCTAAGCGATTCACGACCATGAACAAAGAGGAGTTTGCGCAAAAATCTGAAATTATGAAGATAAACTATGGATAGATGAAGTGGGGGCTCACTGAAATTCTGCTATACTGAAATCCGCTGCACGAGTGGCTTGAAGTCCTTCTTTCCCAGAAATCCCGATTCCAACAGAAGCAGACAAAATCATAGCAACATCATTAGCTCCATCACCTGCGATAAAGGC